ATAAGACCTGCCCTTTTATTTCCACACAGAATTAAGTTTATTCCCTATGTGTCCTATTACAGACTACAGAAAGGAGCCTACAAGCAAGTTCACCTAACATCTGACAGAGGGCAAATTTTAGAAGCTATTTAGAAGCTAGATGTCATTAAAATGAGATGTAGTGATTGCAACAAGGTCAGCCAAGTGGACTTCATAGAATCTGTTCCCTGATTGGACCAGATTAACAGCCCCAATCAAGGAGCCCTGCCTGATAGAGACATAAACGGGAGGGGGTCAGGGGTTCTGTTCACTCTGCGGGAGCAGGACCAATGTCAAGGACTTACCACATGTAAATAAAGCGTGACACAGTGACAGGAAACCAGCCCCTGTTGAGTTATTTCATGGGTCTCTTGGATTAGAGTCATACAGATGTACAGCATGGAAACAGATCCTCCAGTCCAACTCATCAATGTTGACCACATATTCTAAATTAATTTAGTCCCATTTGCCAGCATTTGGCCCATATCCCTCTAAACTCTTCCTATTCATATACCCATCCAGATGCCTTTTAAGTGTAACTGTACCAGCCTCCACCACTTCCTCTGGCAGCTCGTTCCATACACGCACCACCCTCTGCATGAAAACACTGGCCCTCGGGTCCTTTTTCAATACTTCCCCTCTCACCTTAAACCTTTGTCCTCACGTTTTGGACACCACTACGCTGGGGAAAAGACCTTGGCTATTCACCCGATCCATGCCCCTCATGCTTTTGTAAACCTCTATGAAGCTCATCCCTCAACCTCCGTCACTGCAGGAAAAAATAGCCCCAGCCTACTCAGCCTCTCCCTACAGCTCCAACCCTCCAATCCTGGCAACATCCTTGTAAATCTTTTCCGAACCCTCTCAAGTTTAACAAAATCTTTCTAACAGCAGGAAGACCGGAATTGAATGCAGTATTCTGAAACTGGCCTAACCCATGTCTTGTACAGCCCCAAAACGATGACCCAACTCTTACACTCAATGTACTGACCAATGAAGGCAAGTGTACCAAAGGACGACTTCTACCTGCAACTCCACTTTCAAGGAACTATGCACCTACACCCCTTGGTTCCTTTGTTCAGCAACACTCTGCAGGGCCCTACCATTTAACCACGGCATATGCCTACTAAACACGGCATTGGGTTAACACACCTGGAGACTAAGTATCCCCTTGACTAGGAAACATTGCAGAAAATTACAGCAGCAATCATTTGCAGCAAGTGAAGAGGCAAATGGAATTTGATTGTGAGGAGATGGGAGTTGAAAAATAGAAAAATCTTGTTACAATCATCTAGGGTGCTAGTGAGGCTGCACCTGGAGTACAGTTTCAGTCACTGTATTTAACAAAGATTTATTGACTGTTGAGGCAGCTGGAGAGAGATTAACTAGGCCGATTCCCAAGACAAAGGGCTTGATTTATCAAAGATGACTAAACAAAGCTTTTCATTAGGGTTCAGAAGAACGAGGGTCGGTCTTACTGAAACATACAAGATTCTGAAGGGACTTCATAGGGTAGATGTTTCTATTAGTAGGTAAAATATTGAACCTAGTGGGGAACGGGATTACAAAATAAAAATGACATTCATTTCAAACTTGGATGTAAAGGAATTTCTTCTCCCAGAGGATAGTGAAAGTCTGGAATGCTCTATCCCAGAGAGAGTTGTGGATGCTAGCTCTCTGAAAGTATAAGGGCGGGGGGGGCGGTTTCTATACAATTTTAGCGTATTGGGGAAATGGTGGGCTATGAGGAGCTGGCATGAAAGACAAGTTGAGAGATCAGCCACTTGTTGAAAGGCAGGGCAGTTTAGAGGGTCTGAATCACCTACTGCTGTTTCCATTTCTTATGTTAAAAATAGATCTGATCCCCAGTTTATCATCTACTCTGAAAAATGGCAAATGTCATAATTGATAGAGTCAGGCTAAAAACTAATGGTTATATTTATTGATTAGTAAAAAGCACAATAAATAATTCAAGATACAAATAAACAGAAACTGAACACTGAATCAGCCCAAAGGGACTTAAATATCCTCTTCAGAAGGAATTGCTGTCAGTTTGATCATGTGAATGTTTTCATGTAACAGTCATTTATAGACTTCCTGCTAAGAGATTTGGATACAGCTGGTACCGAATCTATCCAATATATCACAATTCAAGTGAAACATGGAATTATAAACAGACGTCCTCAGTTTTTATACAATTTTTAAGTCTCCAAAGCTGAATTCAATTGCCCAAGAAAATAAAATGAGGAATTATTGCATGGCATATTCATGAGCGATTCGACATTCTGTGACTCTCACACGACTAATACCATCAGAAAACTATGTTGAAATTTTCCAAGCAGAAAATCCTCCTCATCCGCTTAAATATCAGTTCAAACAATTTGGCCTACTTACAGGAGTGCATGTTCCTGTTTAAAGCTCAGTAAATAAATACACACCTTCCATTTTGATACATTTTAAAACAATACATCATCATAAAAGACAGTCACATTTTGCATTTTGACACAGGACATTAATTTTGTCACAGCCGTTTATTGTTTTTAGGACACGAATTAGCTGGGTATAACAGGCCCTGAGGGGTCTTGGCCCATTGTGGAAATAAGGATTTTCAGCATACGCTCCCAAGAATTCAATTACAATTGCAGATGAACAGATTTTCGGGTTCTGCTGGTTTAGCTGAATGCCATGGAGCAAACTTGGTATTAAATTGCGGGTTCTACATTCTCAAGCAGTTCACACTTTTAGAAACAAAAAAAAAAGCAGCACAAAGTTCAAAACCAAATCCCACAGAGTAAAGACGTGACAACATAAAGTTAGTTTCCAAACAAGCTCAACAATATAGTGAGAGTGAACACATTAAGGTAAGTCTTCTTTGGGTGTAATCGTGGAAGAGTCAGCTCTCCTGATATTGTTTTCCTTCATTCATTCATTCATGGGATGAAGGTGTTGCTGGCTAGGGCAGCACTTACTGTTTACCCCTAAGCACACAGAGGGCAGTTAAGCGTCACATTGTTCTGGATCTGGAGTCACATGGAGGCCAGACCAGCGAAGGAAGGCAGATTTCCCTCCCAAAACCAGATGACAAATTGAGTGGGTTAGACGATTGTCATTAGACCAGCTTTGTTCCAAATTACTGAATTCAAATTCCACCATTTGCCACTGTCGGATTTGAATGCATGCTTCCAAATCATTAGCTTGGCATAATGGATTGTCCAGTAACATTACCACTAAACTGCTAACTCCCCAAATTTATTTTCATCAAAATCACTGCCTCCCTTTTCAGACTATTATATACAGTCACAATCTGGCCACATATCTCTGCTCTCCATTCCAACAGCTGCTTTAACCCAAAGTCAAGAAACTAGGCTACTGTATTGGTTGTATCAGCAGGCAGAGACAGTGATGGTTGAACAGGTTAAGGACTGCATCACCACATATCATCAGTAGCAATTTCTGGCATGATTGCTTTAATTTCACGAGAGACTGTCAGTCACAGGATC